GTAGTAGTAGTAGTAGTAGTAATAGTAGTAGTAGTAGTAGTAGTAGTAGTAGTAGTAGTAGTAGTAGTAGTAGTAGTAGTAGTAATAGTATTAGTAGTAGTAGTAGTAGTAGTAGTAGTAGTAGTAGTAGTAGTAGTAGTAGTAGTAGTAGCAGTAGTAGTAGCAATAGGAGTAGTAGTAGCAGTAGCAGTAGTCTTCGTACTAGGAGTAGTCGTAATCGTGGTCGTAGTAGTAGTAGTCGTAGTCGTAGTAGTAGTAGTAGTAGTAGTAGTAGTAGTAGTAGTAGTAGTAGTAGTAGTAGTAGTAGTAGTAGTAGTAGTAGTAGTAGTAGTAGTAGTAGTAGTAGTAGTAGTAGTAGTAGTAGTAGTAGTAGTAGTAGTAGTAGTAGTAGTAGTAGTAGTAGTAGTAGTAGTAGTAGTAGTAGTAGTAGTAGTAGTAGTAGTAGTAGTAGTAGTAGTAGTAGTAGTAGTAGTAGTAGTAGTAGTAGTAGTAGTAGTAGTAGTAGTAGTAGTAGTAGTAGTAGTAGTAGTAGTAGAGTAGTAGTAGTAGTCGTAGTAGTAGTAGTAGTAGTAGTCGTAGTAGTAGTAGTAGTAGTAGTAGTAGTAGTAGTAGTAGTAGTAGAAAAAGAAGTAGTAGGAGGATAAGGACAACAACCCGTTTAAGTATGCGCTGGTAACAGTGATAGCAAACGCAGTAGTGGTCGTAAGAGCAGGGTTTGGGTCTTTAATCTCCGTTTTTCCTCCAGTTGCCCCTGCTCCGCTCGTTGTTTGTTGTCCCTTATCCCTCCTAGATTCTCAGATTTCGTCATTATTCGTCATCACTTCTCCTTCTTTCCTCATTCCTCCCCCTTCCCTTGGGTCGTCTGCGTTCTCGCCCAAATCCTCGTCGTCGTCGTCGTCGTCATCGTTGTCCTCGTCCTCGTCGTCCTCGTCGTCGTGCTGTCGTTCTCGTCTTCTCCGTTTATTGCCGTGTTCGTATTGTTACTCATCGCCGTCGTCGTCGTTTTGCTCCTCCTCCTACCCCTCCTCCCTTTACCCCCCCGCAGGTCCACAGTGCGGGCGCCGGCCCGGTGTGGCACCTGAGACCGTCGGTTGGGACCTGGCTTCACGTCAAGGTCGGCCGTGCAGAAGCGTGCGTACACGTGTCTGACGCATCATGATGTACTATTTTGAAGGCCTTACTTCTGGTGCCGCCGACCCTGGAAGGATACCCCCATGATGATGGTGACAGCCGGAGGTGTTCGGGAAGGTTGAGACCACACGCCCCGAAGAGTTCCTTTGAAAACCCTATGAGTTTCCCAAGAATCGTATGACGAGGAGCACAGCTTGGCCAAGCTATCTGCCTATGTGGTGCTCTAGCAGCCGCTGTGGGAGGAAGAAGGAGGGAATCAGGAGAGGGAGGAGGAGGAGGCGGATGAGGAGGAGGAGGAGGTCGAGGAGGAGGAGGAGGGGGAGGAGGAGGGGGAGGAGGAGGAGGCGGAGGAGGATGAGGACGTGGACGAGGAGGACAACGAGGAGGACAAGGAGGAGGAGGAGAAGGAGGAGTAGACCTCTTGGGAGCCTTTTCGTGGCTGTGGGAGCCTCCTCAGGCTTCATGGCAGCCTCTTGCCCCCATCCGGGACCGTCTTGGAGGTGCGTATCTTGGGGCCATCTTAGAGCAGACGTTTTTGGGGGCATCTTGGATCTTCCTGGTGGCAATGCAGCGTCACTCTGACCATCTGGGAGGCGAGCCTGCTCTTGGAGAATTCCGTTGTGGCCCTCTGGGGGATCTTGGTGCGTTCGGGCGATTCCAGGTCCCTCTAGGATTATCGAAAACGCCTACGGCGAATCACTGCCGCCCCCTGCCTTTGGAATCGCCCATATGGCCGAGCGTTGTGGCAAGAGCTCTGCCAAGCTATCGGGCCATGTGTTCCCCCAGCCGTTGTGGAAACCCTTCGGGGAACACTTGGGGGAGGATGGCGAGAAATATCAGGAGGAGGAGGAGGGGGCATCTTGGGAGCCTCTGGGGCACTCTTGGGGGCTCCTAGGCGCTTCCTGGGAGCCACTTGGATGCAACTTGGGGGCCTCCTTGGGCCTTTGGGGGGCCTTTGGGGGCTTCTCGGGGGCCTCTTTGGCCGTCTTAGGGCATTCCTGGCCCATCTGAAGCCGTCGGAAGCCGTCTTGGGGGCCTCTCTGGGCCAGCTTGGGGCCCTCTTGGGGTGCTCAAGGGCCGTCTTGGAGGCCATCTTGGGCGTCTTGGAGGCCTCTTGGGCCGTCTTTGGGCCCTCTTGGGGCCGTCTCGGGGGCTTCTTGGGCCGTTTTGGGGCCATCTTGGAGGCCTCTTGGGCGATCTTAGAGCGATCTTTGGGGGCTCTTGGGCTGTCTCGAGGCCATCTTGGGGCCGTCTGGGGGGCTTCTTTGGCCGTTCTAGGGCCATCTTGTAGGGTTCTTGGGCGATCTTGGGGCGATCTTGGGGGTCTCTTGGGCCGTCTCGGGCCGTCAGAAGGCCGATAAGAAGCAAATTCCCAAATCAATGATTTTGGACTCTTCGGGCCTTCCTGGGAACCCTCTTGGGGGCATTTTGGGTCGTCTTGGAGACCTCTTGGGGGCCTCTTGGGCCATCTTGGAGCCATCTTGGGCCGTCTTGATGGCCTCATGGCCCGTCTGGCGCCGTCGGAAGCCGTCTTGAGGGCCTCTCTGGGCCGACTTTGGGCCCTCTAGGGTGCTCCAGGGCCGTCTTGGAGGCCATCTTGGGCGTCTTGGAGGCCTTTTGGGCCGTCTTGGGGCCCTCTTGGGGCAGTCTAAGCGGCCTCTTGGGCCGTTCTGGGGCCATCTTGGAGGCCTCTTGGGCGATCGTGGGGCGATCTTTGGGGGCCTCTTGGACCGTCTTGGGCTGTAGGAAGGCCGAAAAGGAGCACATGCCAAAATCCTTCAACAACCCAAGGAAAACTAATGATTTGGCTTCTTCGGGCCCTCCTGGTGGATGTCTCGGACGCCTCTCGGGCAGTCTTGGAGGCCTCTTGGGCCCTCTTCGACCGTCTTGGCGGTTTCTTGGGCGGACTTGGCGGCATCTTGGGCCCTCTTGGCCGTCTTGGAGGACATCTTGGACCATCTTGGGCGAACTTGGAGGCTATCTTGGCCGTCTCGAAGGCCATCTTGGGCCGTCTTGGAGGATTCTTTCTAGTTTTGTGGTCCTTTCGGGTGGCCGGCGGGACGGGCCGAGGCCCCAGGGGAGTTCTTTTTGAAAAGAAACATAACCAAATCTTAGAAAGAGGGTTAGGGGAGGGGGGGGGTTTGCCGGGGGGAAAGGGGGGGGGAGGTTCCAGCAGGGGGGGGGAATTTTCGGAGGGGGGGGTGACCCCCGGGTTCAGGAGGAGGAGGGGGGGGGGAATTTTCCACAGTAAAGCGGCGGTGGATCACGCTCTCTCGAATCTTGAGAAGTCCAGCTTGCCGGGCACCCCTGTTATAAATCAGCAGGGGGCGGCGGATTTGGTGGCCGACAGCCCATCCCGCCACCGTGCCTTGGTAGGATACTGTCTGGGACCTTCTGAGAGCCCTCTGGGATCGGGCCGGACGAAAGGGGGGGATAGGGAAAGGGGGAGTTACGAAATCTGCTGCATGCAGCTGGTTTCGGCCCCACCGAGGGGCCCATTCCTCGATACATGGCCGCCTGCGGCGCTGGGAGGCAGTGGGAAAATCAGGTACGTGAGCTGATTCTCACCCCCCCCTTTGCTATCCCCCCTTTTGGCCCAGCCCGATTGGAGCTCTCTCTGGGCTCTCTTTGAGGCTTCTTGGAGGTCCCAAGGGGCTTGAAGAGGGGCCCCAACGGGCACGAAGGAGCTCCAAAAGGCTTGCGAGGGCCCCGTGAAAGCTCCCGAAGCAGCCCGCAACAGTGTCATTCTAAAGATTCCTGGACTGATGCTGTTGAGGGCTTGCTTGGAATTCTGTGGGGCCCTCTGGGGGCTCTCTGGGGGCGCTCGGGTGATTTCAGACCCCTCTAAGATTCTCGAAGACGCCTACGGCGAATCATAGCCGCCCCCTGCCTCTTAGGATACGCCTATGTTCAGAGCTGGATTTACCTCCCCCGCTGTCGCTTCCAAGCTCAACCAAGTCATGCCACGCACCTCTACTTTGGCAGCGCGCGCGCGTCAACCCCCCCCGCCGCATCGCAGTGCAAAACCACGGACTTCCCAGATTCCGCCCCAAACGACGTTTGGCATCGTGTCACGATAATTTGGCACCGTGCCGGGAACACTTGAGTCGTATTGGAATGTGTTGGAATCGTGTTGGAACAGTTTGGTACAATACCGGGAACGCTTAGTATTGTACCAAGCGCAGTTGGTATTCGACCAACTTCGCGTCTGCATCGTTATTTTACGCATGCGAGCGAGGCCGAACGGCACTTGGTATTACACCGGAAACCTCTGGTGTTGTGCCAAGTTTTTTCCGGTATTCTACCAAAGCGTCGTTTGGTAGTCCGGTTGGAGGGCCGGCGTGAGCCGGCATTGCATGTCCCAGTTGCGTCTACGCGCCTTTCGGTGTACGACTTGTGAATGAGTGAGTGAGTCGTCTGGTAAGATACCAGGCGTCGTTCTGGGGGAGATCGGGGCTCGGCAGTGCGAGGGGGTGGGAGGCGCCTTAGAGTCTGGGGAACGTCGACGGGCATGCGGATCGCGTGTTGGCGCCGCGAGGTCACGGTCGCGCTCCCCGCGAGCAGGTTGGTATTTCTTGGTCCATCTGGAAGCGGGGGTGGCCACAAGCGAGGTAGCTTTGCACGCCTCTTATATGCGGCCAAGCGTTTGGGCAGAGTGTGGCCGCGCTGTTGGGTCATGCGTTCCCTCAGCTGTGTGGAAGCACTTCGGGGAACACGTGGGGGAGGAAGTGGATGATGAGGAGAGGGAGGACAAAGGATTATGAGGAGAAGGATGAGGAGACCTCTTAGGAGCTTCTTGGGTTCTTCTTGGGGCCTCCTGGGAGCTTCCTTGGGGCCTCTTGAAAGCCCCTCGGGGGCCTCCTTGAGCCTCGTGGGGTCCCCTTAGGGGCCTTTGGGGGCTCCTTGGGGTCCCCGTTGGCCGTCTTACGGCGTTCCTGGCCCGTCTGATGCCGTCGGAAGCCATCTTGGGAGCCTCTCTGGGCCGAATTGGGGTCTTCTTGGGGCGCTTCAGGGTCGTCTTGGAGCCCATCTTGGGCTTCTGGGAGGTCTCTTGGGCCATCTTGGGGCCCTCTTGGGGCCGTCTTGGGGGCCTTTTTGGGCCGTTCAGGAGCCATCTTCGAGGCCTTTTGGGCGCTCTTGGGGCAACTTGGGCGCCTCTCGGGCCGTCTTGGGCCGTCGGACGCCCATTTTTGAGTAATTGCCAACACCTTTGTAAAACCTGCGGAAGATACGTGATTCTGGCGTATTCGGACCTTCTTGGAGGATTGCTTGGAGGCCTCCTGGGCCGTCTTAGGGGCCTCTTGGGCGCCTCTTCGGCTATTGGTACCGTCTTGGAGGCCATTTTGGGGCTATCCTGGTCTCTCTTGGGGCAGTCTTGGCCGTCTCGGAGGCATTTTGGAGGCCATCTTGGGCCATCTTGGCCGTTTTGGAAGTCATCCGGGAGGCAAGAAACGACGACAGGGCCGAATCCCCAGGTGGAGTCTTAACCATAACCCAAACAATGTGAACTTCAGCGGAGGAGGAGGAGGAGGAGGAGGAGGAGGAGGAGGAGGAGGAGGAGGAGGAGGAGGAGGAGGAGGAGGAGGTTGGGGCGGAGGCGGAGGCGGCGGCGGCTGCGGCTGCGGAGGAGGAGGAGGAGGACGAGGTCGAAGAGGACGAGGACGATGATGATGATGATGATGATGATGATGATGATGATGATGATGATGATGATGATGATGATGATGATGATGATGATGATGATGATGATGATGATGATGATGATGATGATGATGATGATGATGATGATGATGATGATGATGCTGATGATGATGATGATGATGATGATGATGATGCTGATGCTGATGCTGATGATGATGATGATGATGATGATGATGATGATGATGATGATGATGATGATGATTATGATGATGAGGAGGATAACACTAATACTCATAATCTACAGTTTTAGTATTCATAGCAGTAGCACTACCAATACTATTATTTATATCAGTAATTTCATTACAACGTCTAATAGTATTGCCACTAACCGTATTAGTAGACAACATCGTATGACTAACATTTGAATGAATAAGACTAATAATACAATTCGTACCAATAATCATTAGAATATCACTGATACGGAGCATAATAATAAACATAATGATAAGAGGAGGAGGATGAGAAGGAGGAGGAGGAGGAGGAGGAGGAGGGGGAGGAGGAGGAGGAGGAGGACGAGGACGAGGACGCGGACGCGGACGAGGACGAGGACGAGGACGAGGACGAGGACGGGTCGAGGACGAGGACGAGGACGAGGACGCGGACGAGGACGAGGACAAGGACGAGGACGAGGACGGGTCGAGGACGCGGACGAGGACGAGGACAAGGACGAGGACGAGGACGAAGACGAGGAGGAGGAGGAGGAGGAGGACGAGGAGGAGGAGGAGGAGGAAGAGGGGAGGGAAACGGGAAGGCGAGCAGCTGGCCTGGGAGCGGCCCCGGCGCGCCGGGGCCCCAGAGGTGCGCCCGCTGGCGCTGGCCCCGGCGGCAGTTTGCCCACCCTGCGAGGACGGCCAGTGGGCGAAGAGCCCCTCCCCATCCTCCAACTCCTCCTGAGTGCGGCGCTGCACATCGATCAGATGATGCCAGGGCGCTCGCCCGAGGCGAATTATGTTCGCGAAGCGAGATAGTAGGCCACTCCGCATAAGGCGAAGTGTGTTCGCGAAGTGCGACATCGTGAGCCACGCCGATCAGAAGTTGCTCTCTTGAGCTGTGCTCGAGAAGCAGCTGGTGATTGAGAGGCCGTTTGCTCTGTCAGTCGTTTGGGTTGGCTGGCTTGTTTCGTTTCGTCCCATGGTCAGTGATGGGAGTAACTCCACCCTTGTCACGGGCGCCGTAAGACAAGTTTTTGCGGTTCTGGCCGTGGTGAAACGACGTCCATCAATTACGGGGCCTACCGAAACAGCTTAGTCTACCTTTTCTTTTGGGCAATTAGTTACGGAAAACCTGATCAGTAGGAGATCCTGTCTCGCCCTGTAACTGTTGATTTGGTCCGGGGTGGGTTTTTTGTGGTTTGGCCAACGAGGCGCAACGGACTCGCTTGAGCACCGGATTCGAGTAGCTAGCATTTGTGGTTTGGCAGGCAGGCGGGCAGAGGGTGCGATTCATGGGCGTTTGGATCAAGGGTGGTCACCCTCCGCGTCCGCTCTACAGGCGTAGCAGCCATCGTTATTCAACGCCCTACGGACAAACGTCACTGTCTCCACACCGCCTTACATTATAGTCCCTTCGTCCTCTTCCTCCCCTTTCTCCTCCTCCTCCTCCTCCTCCTCTTTCTCCTCCTCCTCCTCCTCCTCTCCCTTTTCCTCCTTCTCCTCCTCCTCCTCCTCCTTCCCTCCTTCCCTCCTTCCCTCTTTCCCTTCCCCCCTCCAGCTCGTCCTCCTCCTCCTCCTCCTCCTCCTCCTTCTCCCCCTCCATTCCTTTCCCTTGTGAATAACTTGTCCCTGTCGCGCCTCGAAACAAGTTTTTAGGGCGTGCCGGGCGTTTTGTCTGAGACGTCTTCACCATTTGTGACCCTGGAGTTTAAGCATTTGCAACAGTTTCGCATGTGGAGGGCGGGTTGTTTTCAAACATGAGGTTCCTCGCCCCAGCGCAGCGCACATTCTTTTTGAACGTTTGCAAGAGTTTCACGGGTCGAGGGCGGGTCGTTCTCAACATGTGGTTCTCGCTTTAGCGCGGCGCACATTCGTTTTGAAACATTTCACGGGTTGACGGCGGGTTGTTTTCAACATGTGGTTCTCGCCTTAGCGCGCCGCACAGTCGTTTTCAATCTCAGCAGACGCTTCACGGATGGAGGGCGGGCCGTTTTCAACATGTGGCTCTCGACTTAGCGTGGCCCACATTAGTTTTGAAACATTTGCAAGAGTTTCACACATTGAGGGCGGTTCGTTTTCAAAATGTGGCTCTCGCCTCAGCGCCGCGCGCAGTCTTCTTTAACCATTTGCAAGAGTTTAACGGATTGAGGGCGGGCCGTTTTCAACATGTGGTTCTCGCTTTGGTGCGGAGCTCATTCGTTTTCATCTTTGTAATAGTTTCACGCATTGAGGGCGGGTCGTTTTCAAAATGTGGCTCTCGCCTTAGCGCGGTGCTCATTCGTTATAAGCGGCTGCAATCATTTATGTATTCCCATCATCGTGCCAGAAATGGTGTGTTGAACGGTTTCAGGATTTTGCGGGTGCTGCAGTTATGTTGGTTCGCTGTGTTGAAGTCCCAGGAATGGAGTTCTGGCGCAGGTCACGGGTGTCAAGACGCAGCAGTCAGGTTGATGCGTGGCGTTGGAAGCCCGAGAACAATTTTGGCATGCTTCAGGGTCATCAAACGGTTGTCTTCCAAAGAGACAACCTTTTCACTGGAAATGAACCGTTGTAGGGGCCTCTGAAGAGGGAGCTTGGAGGGAGGGTTTGTTCCAACATAGTTGATGGCTCTTGGGTTTACACCAGTCCTCCTCCTCGTCCTCCTCCTCGTCCTCTTCCTCCTCCTCCTCTGTCCTCGTCGTCGTCGTCCCCCCCCTCCTCATTCCTCCTTCTCTTGCTCGTCCTCTTCCTCTTCTCTCTCCTCCTCCTCTTTCTCCTCCTCCTCCTCCTCCTCTTTCTCCTCCTCCTCTGCCTCCCCCTCCTCCTCCTCCTCCTGCTTCTCCTTCCCACCGTCCCTCCCTCCCTCCCTCCTCGTTGCAAATCGGCAGGAACTCGAAGAAAGCCCAGAAGCCATGGGCTCCTACCCCTCTGCCCCCCCCTCCCCTCTTTCCCCTTCGCTCCGGTCGCAGGAGCCAGCCGCGGCCGCCACGCCCAGTGCGGCCCGGGACGCCGCGCGCGGGGCCTCGCCTCCGGAGGCGGCCGCGCGCCTCGCCCGCCCTTCCCTCTCCTCTTCCTCGTCTTCCTTCCTTTTGTCTGTTTGTTTGTTTCGTCTTCTTCGCAGTCTTCTCCAGATTCATCCTCTGGTTGTTTGTATTATTCCCTACCCAGGCTCTGCCTAGAAGGGTTCTTACTGTATAAGCTTAAAGGGCCGGGCAGTGGACCACGCCCCGGGCGGTTCCCCCGGCATCCGCCCCGCGGCTCCCCCAGCTTAGCTTAGCTCATCTTAGCTTAGCTTAGCTTATCTCATCTTAGCTTAGCTTATTCATCTTAGCTCAGCTTAGCTTAGCTTAGCGCTGATTATCTCATCTTAGCTTAGCTTATCTTAGCATAGCTTAGCGTTGCGTATCTCATCTTAGCTGATATTAGCATAGCTTATCACATCTTAGCTTGCTTATCCCATCTTAGCTTATCTCATGTTTAGCTCATCTGAGCTTAGCTTAGCGTTGCTTATCTCATCTTAGCTTAGCTTATTTCATCTTAGTTTAGCTTAGCTTCATCATAGCTCAGGTTTATTCCCTACCTAGGCTCTGCCTAGAAGGGTTCTTACTTTATTCCCTACCTAGGCTCTGCCTAGAAGGGTTCTTACCGTGTTGGCTTAAAGGGCCGGGCAGTGTTCCACGCCCCGGGCGGTTCCCCCAAGATCCGCCCCGCGGTTCCCCCAGTTCCCTGGGTTAGCTCCAGCTTTAGCTTTAGCCTTAGCTTTAGCTTAGCTCTAGCTTAGCTTTAGCTTAGCTTTAGCTTAGCTTTAGCTCAGCTTTAGCTCAGCTGTAGCTGAGCTTTAGCTCAGCTTTAGCTCAGCTTTAGCTCAGCTTTAGCTCAGCTTTAGCTCAGCTTTAGCTCATCTTTAGCTCAGCTTTAGCTCAGCTTCAGCTTAGCTTTAGCTCAGCTTTAGCCTCAGCTAGCTTTAGCTTAGCTTGAGCTTAGCTTTAGCTTAGCTTTACTGTTACTACTACTGCGTTCTTCCTAGGGGCTCCAACTCCTAGGTAGGGCCGCACTGGGATAATTGTTTCTGGTATCCTTATCAGTACTCTTCTCCTCCACCACTTTCTCTTCCTTCTCCTCCTCCTTTCCACCGTACGGCTCTTTTCGTTTCCTCCTCCTCCTCTCCATCCTCCTCCTCCTCCTCCTCCTCCTCCTTTTCTTCCTCCTCCACTTCTTCTCTCCTCCTCCTCCTCCTCCTCCTCCTCCTCCTCCTCCTCCTCCGCATCCTCCTCTTCTTCCTCCTCCTCGTCCTCCTCCCCCTCCTCCTCCCCGTCCTCGTCTTTCTCCTCCTCTTCCTCCTCCTCTTCCTCCTCCTCCCTCCTCGCCGTTCTGTGCTCTTTTTGGCTCTTCCCCCCCCGTCCTTGAACTCACTGGTCTCCGAATGGGCGAGAGCCCCGCAGCCTGGGCTCGAGAGTCTTTCGCGCAGAGCGCGCACGGCCTGCGGCACAGGCGCCTGCCCAGGTAGCCGAAGCGCCGCAGTCTGGCATCCTGTATCCTCACTGCCGGGTGGTGTCCGTGGCGGGCCCTTCGTCATGAGAAGGCGTTCGGATGGCGTCATGACGGGCCAGTCCCTGGGCCACTGCGACGTCAGCCAGCCCACTCTGAATCTGAAGGCGGGCTACGGGGCGGTCTGCGCCAAGATCGAGCGGCGCTCTGAGGATGGCGCGAAGGGCCTCCTGGATTGCTCCGGCCAGGCCCTCGTGCCCGCCGCTCGGGAGACCTGCGCCATCTTCAACACCGTGGGGGACCACCCTCTCGTGGAGACAACAAGGACAGGGAGAAGGACATATCGTGCCACGGTGATTTCATACCCCCTATACAGATCCGTCGTGCATAGGTCAACGGCCTTCGCCGAGATCTGCACTAAGTTTAGGCGGCTCTGCGTGAGCGTCCTCATGGGCTTCCTGGACCACTGCGGCTTCGCTCGGCCCACCGCTTTCGAGGCGCGCCGCATGTCTACCACGGTCGGTTCCGAGGATGCCATCATTCTGATCGCCACGTTCGCAAACCCGTCATCCTGGAACGATCACGATAAGGTGTTGTGGTGTCATACCATGGACCTCACCAGCGCCGTGGACACCAATGGCAGCGTCGTGCTGGACCCCACGTTCGTGCGACCACGATCTGGGCTCGTCGTGCCATATCGTCAGCACCACCCTCGACGTGTCAGTCGGATATCCCACTTGCGATGTGGCGAAGGCGATGAGTTTCGAGGGACCCTACGCCGAGTTCAAGCGGCGCTCCGATGGGCCGTACCCGGGGGCCCCCCAGAACGGCCCCCTCCGGAGGGTGGCCCAGGAGGAGACGGTCCCCAGGAGAGGCCTCGAGCCTGCTCAAAAGAGGGCCCCCAGGCGGCCCAGAAGGTGCTCTCAAGACGGCCCCGTCAGCCCTCGAGGTGTTCAGTCTACAGTGCCCCCGGGGGCCCAAAAGGGGGCCTCACGTCAGCGGTACCGTCATGCGTGCTCACTAACGGGTGCCTCTTTCTGGCATTGCAGTGTTGCCCACGCACGGTGCAGTCAACCCGCATAGGAAGGATGGACAACCTTCCCAAGGGTACTCTTACATCCTTGCCTCCTCGGTCCATCTTGGCCTCTTTCGTTCGCCGCGCCGCGCTCGAAGAGCTTCGAAGTGGGCGTCCAAGGCCCTTGCATCCTTTCGCGCACCCTCATGATACGGGCCGACTGTGGTGCCCGAGGAGGACCCCACAGAGGGCCTCAAGGTGTAACAGTATCTCGTTTTCGTTCGTAGAGTGCACTCGCTTTCGTTGGCTTCAGGGTCGCCAAGAAGTCACCGCCCATCGAACCACCCCAACCCAACCCGAAGGCCCCGATTTGCCATCCATTTCTAGTTGGGAGGGTGGCGGGGAACATGGAAACAACACAAATGAAGCCCGCCCCCCCAACCCGAAATTCGGGCGACATTCGGGTCTTCGGGTTGGGGTGGGGTGGTCTGGTAGGTAGTCAAGAGGGCCCAGGAGGCCCAACAGGCTCCCAAGACGGCCCACGACGGCCCAAGAAGGCGGTCCAAGAGGCCCTCCGTGGCCGTTTTGGCTCGAGCTGCCAGGCTCGAGGCCTCTGCGGTATCTTCCAACACCTTCCAGCCCCAGCCAGTGTCAGGCCGGAGCCTGCCGGTCAAGTCTCGGGGGCGGCAAAGAGGGGGGTGATGATTAGGGGGGTGGATATCATGGCGTGGGCCATGATATCTCCTCAGATTTCATGGCGCCTCTTCTTCTTTCATGGCGTCCCTGGCCCCCCCTTGGGCCGCGCACATGCCGCCAGCCACGATTTGCGCCCCCCCGTCCACAGACCCCTGACGTCATGTTTTTTCACGACGTCGACTCCAAGAGGTCTGGACCCATTCCCCAGGACCTGCTTTTCATCCCGAGTCGTTTTTTGACGAACCCGAGGCCGAAAATAGCAAAAAACCTCTCGTCGTGTTTTTTTCATGACTTGCACGCCCCCCTCTGGGCCGACCCCGACAGTCATGACAGGAGTTGACTGGCCGATGAACCTCGCCGCCGAGGGCTCTTGGGGCTTCCAGGGGAAGGAGGTGCATCTGCGGGAGTCGACTATACGTAAGAGTGACCTTTCGCCAGAGTGACTTTTGGTGCGTGCCCAATGGGGTCCCCCGACTGCTGAACGCGATGCGGTAGTAGCGTCTTGCGCGCTTGTGTTCGGTCCTCCCGCGGCCCCCCAAAAGCTGCGCACCAAAGGTCGCTCTTACCCAGGGTCACTCTTGCGTGTAGCCGAGGCCCAGGCTGGGCGGTCCGGGCCCCGGAGCGGCGGGGAAGCCGTGCAGCCCGAGCCCCAGTGAAGGCGCGGGCGCGTTGGACAAGCTGGTCATGATGGGCCCGTTTTCCACCACCACCACCACCATAAGTTGGAGGGGGGGAGGAGGTGCAGGACGAGGAGGAGGAGGAGGAGGAGGAGGAGGAGGAGGAGGAGGAGGAGGAGGAGCCCCTCCACCTCCAACTTAGGGTAGTGGTGGTGATGGTGGTGGGAAACAGGCCCATCAGGTCACTCGCGTGTGGGAGGGCGGCAAGTGCGAGACGTACACGGTGTCCAAGTTCTGCTCGGGCAAGTCTCGGATTGGCACCCGCCGGAAGGCAGATTCCTGCCCCAAGCAGTTTGACTTGGCACTCGACGCGGCTTCGAGCAAGCTCTGGTGGGGAGTACCTGTGAAACACTCCTGCGACGCCGGCGTCGTCGACGAAGGGGCTTCAGACTGCACCTTGCAGTGGTACAAGCCAGGATCGCGGAGACCCACGTTCGCTTGGTGCGCCAAGCTGGACCCGCAGGTTGCACAGGACAGCGCGACTACCTGGCATTCCTTGGACGAGGTGGAGGCCTCGCTGGCGGCGGTGCATCTCGAAGAAGTAGAGGCCTCGCCGGGAGCGCCCTGGCTGCCGTCCGACAAGGAGCTCCCTCCGCTGGCTGGCCCCGACTCGAGGGGCGTCGAGGAGCTCCCTCCGCCAGCCGGCCCGGGCACGGAGGCGTGCGCGGAGGCGCCTGGCGGGCGGGGCGTCGTGGACGGTGCCGCCCGCCCGCGGCGCGGCCGCAACAAGATGACGGCCCGCCTGGGCCCCGCCGCCGCGGAGGCGGCGGCGATGTCGGGGGAGCTGCTGCGAGCGCTGCGCGCCGGGGACGGCCGTGAGCCGCCCGCAGAGGAGGGGGCGCCCCCAGCGGAGGTGTCCCGCGGGGCCGAGGCCGAGCCAGCGGGCGGCGTGCCACGCGGCTTCCGGCCGCCGCCGGGCCTGGAGCCGCCGCCGGGCCCGGCGCCGCCCCTCGCGCCGCGGCGGCGGCCGCCCGGGCGCGGCTGCCCCGCGGCGGTGGGCGCGCCGCCGCAGCCGCCGCCGCTGCCGGGGCAACCCCGAGCTGAGGTCGAGGCCGAGGCGCGCGCGGTGTGCCGCGGCCGCGCCGGCGGCCGTTGCGGGGGAACCCCCAAGTTCGGCGGCGGGGCCGCGGCCGCGGCAGGCGGAGGCGGGCGAATTCAGTATCACGTTGGACAGGAGCTGTGGCACCGCCTACGGGGGGAGGATGGCCTTCGCGGGCGCGGACGCCGCTGCCCTGCAGATCGACCGCATCGACACGCAGGGCCTTTTCCACCTCTGGAACGCTGGGAACCCGGAGAGGGCGATCAGGCCCGGCGACCGCGTCATCGAGGTGAACGGCTGCCGCGGCCACGCGTCGGTGCTCACGGCACAGCTGAAGCAGGCCAGGGTGCACAGCATCGTCGTCCGAAGATCGCTGGAGGCGCCCGCGGCGGAGGCCGCCGGCGGGCCTCCAGCGCCACGGGCCCACGCTGGGGGAGGGGCGGCGCAGGCGGATGGGCATCGGCACCGAGCGGGAGGCGGCGGCTCCGCGGGCGTGAGCCTGGTGCCCGCGGGGGCGGGGGCGCGTGCCGCCGACGAGGCCCCGCGGCCGGGGCCCCTCGAGGGCGGGTGGCGCGACAGGTGCGGCAAGGTGTGCGCCATAACTGGAACGACGCTACGGTGGACCCACCCAACGGCTGGGGCGACGGCCACGAGGGTGGAGCTGATGGGTGTCACCGTCCGCATGGTGTTCCTTGGGCGGGTGCAGTGTGGAGTGCTGCAGGGCGACCAGATATGCTGGTCGAAGTCGGACATCTGGTGGAAGGATCGGCCGTGCGTTTAGGTGTCTGGCCTTTGGCGATCGCAGGTCGCCCTTTTCGGTGCCTGGCCCCGCACAGCCAACCGTATCTGCGTACCATGCTTCCCGCTGCCAGATTCCGTGGGAAAAGCTCGCATATCCTCCACGGCTGGTGTTTATACATATAACGGCGCACCGGGTCCGGGGGCCCGGGGCCGGGACCCCGACCGCAAATGTGGGCCCCGGGGGGCCCGGAGGCTCGTCGGACCGCCGGACGCCGTCCAAGATCGTTCGCAGGCGGCTTCGGAACGCGCTCCGATGGCTCCAGATGCCTTCCAAGCCTGTCATGACACCAAGAAGGAAGAAGCCTCCAAGACGCTCCGAGAGGCAGCCCAAGAGAGGCCCAAGAAGCAAAAATCGTGCCATTCCTATGAAAGAAAATCGTATATTTTTCGCATGTTCGCCTCTTGGGCTTTCACCGCGTCCAAGACGGCCCAAGAGGCGCCCAAGACGGTCTACGAGGCCTCCGGGAGCGCTCCAAGGCTGCGCACGAGTGGCCCAGGACGGCCCCAAGACGGCCGAAGAGAGCCCCAAGACGAGTTCGAGAGGGGTCCCAGACGGAGAAAGCCAACCTCGAATTCCGAGCTTCCGGCCCAAGAGGCTCCAGGAGGCGCCAAAATGCCGCCAAGAGGCGCCAAAAGGCTCCCAAAAGCACCCCAAGACGTTCCGAGAGGCAGCCCAAGAGAGGTCCAAGAAGCAAAAATCGTGCCATTCCTATGGGAAAACGTATATTTTTCGCATGTTCGCCTCTTGGGCTTTCACCGCGTCCAAGACGGCCCAAGAGGCGCCCAAGACGGTCTACGAGGCCTCCGGGAGCGCTCCAAGGCTGCGCACGAGTGGCCCAGGACGGCCCCAAGACGGCCCAAGAGAGCCCCAAGACGAGTTCGAGAGGGGTCCCAGACGGAGAAAGCCAACCTCGAATTCCGAGCTTCCGGCCCAAGAGATCCCAGGAGGCGCCAAAACGCCGCCAAGAGGCGCCAAAAGGCTTCCAAAAGCACCCCAAGACGTTCCGAGAGGCAGCCCAAGAGAGGTCCAAGAAGCAAAAATGGTCCCATTCCGATGGGAAAACGTATACTTTTGGCATGGTCGCCTGTTGGGTTTTCACCGCGTCCAACACGTCCGAAGAGGCTCCCAAGACGGCCTAGGTGGCCCCCAAGAGAGTTCCAAGACGGTCCACGAGGCGCCCAGGACGGCAAAATTGGACTCCAAAATGGCCTGGTGCAATCCAAGCCACAGATCAGCACCAGAACAAACTCGTGCTCTTTTGGTATGATTTTCGATACGCCTCCCATGATCGCCCACTGGACGATAATACAGACATCATTGCACTACCTATGCGTGTCCTTGCGACCGGAACGGGCAAAGATACCAACCAGTTGTCAGTGACCGACGTCTACGACGATTCGGGCGGGGCTGGTCTGGGCTGGTGGTGGGGGGTGGGGAGGGTGGGGGCGGAGGTGGTGGTGAAGGGCGAAGCACAAGCGCTCGCATGAGCACAAGCTTCCAGAGGTCGCGCGGGAGGCCCTCGCGCAGACCAACCTAATTATGAGGTGCCGTCACTCTGCTCACGAGTGCCCCAAGTGAAGCTTGGAGCACTCTAGAGCCAGCATTTTTTTTGCAGACGGTGGACGTTTTCACGTAGTTCTTTGCCAGGCCACGTGTATGCTCCGCAACGCAGCAGTAGCGGTCAGGAGCGAGCTTGTGTGGTTAGAACCATCGCCGCTACCTTGGACCCATCAGCGTTGCGTTCTGCACGCAGATCTCGGACCTTCTCCAGTGATTCGTCGCCCAGTCGAGCTGAGAAACATAAGCATCGCTGAGTTTAAGTGTTTTTTTTCCCGAAGGGTGTGGCCTTTTCGCGCTTCCGAGCTTCCACGCTCCCGGACGGCCGAAGAAGCTCCGAGACCGCCCCGAGACGGCCGAAGAGGCCCCCAACGAGCGCCCCAAGACGGCCCCAGCGAGCCTCGAGACTGCGCCAGGAGGCGCCCAAGACGGCTCGAGAGGGCCCCAGGACAGGCCCAAGAGGGGCCCCAAAGAGGCCCCCAAAGGGAGCCTCAAGACGGCCCCAGACAGCCTCAAGGCTGCGCCAGGAGGCGCCCAAGACGGCCCAAGCGCCCCAGGACCGCTCAGAATGGGTCCCAGGGCGGCCCAGAGAGGCCCCCGAGAAACCTCCAGGATCCCCCAGAATGCCCCCAACAAGCCCCAGACCCATAGAGTCACCCAGAAAGGCCCCACGAGGCACGAAAGCTAGCCCAAGAGAGCTCCGAGAGCCGTCCCGAGAGAGCCCGAAGAGGGTAACATCGTTTCATTGTCCTTTGTTTTTTCGATGTGTTTGACCCTCTCGCGTTTTCAAGCTTCCACGCTCCCGGACGGCCGAAGAAGCCCCCGAGACCGCCCCGAGACGGCCGAAGAGGCCCACAACGAGCGCCCAAGACGGCCCCAGATAGCTCAAGACTGCCCAAGGGGCGCCCAAGACGGCCCAAGAGGGCCCCAGGACAGGCCCAAGATGGGCCCGAGAGCGGGAGCAGGAGGCCCCAAGAGGCCCCCGAGAGGCCTCTGGGATCCCCCAGAGGCCCCCAACAAACCCCAGACCCCTGAAAGGACCAAGGAAAAAACCCACGAGGCCCCCAAACCAGCCCCGGAGAGGCCTCACAACTGCCTCCGAGGAACCCCCTGCAGGCCTCTTAGGCCCCCCGATTCCTGCACACTACATAGTAGGAGGCCCGACTTGAAAAAGGGAAGGTTTTGTTGAACTTCACCCCGGGCTCCATCAAGACTTCGGGGTCACAATTCGAAGATTTGTCGGGAATTATGATGAACTCTCTGACGCTGTCTTGGAACTCTCTTGGGCCATCTTCGTGTCCTCTTGGGAAAAAGGCGTCCAGAACTCGAGATCCCATGAGCTAACCTGTCCAGCATGGCTAGAACTTGAGCACGCGCCCCAGGAGGGAGCCACAAGAGGGGACCTCCCCAAGCCTTTCGAGCGCTCTGCCCTAAGATGGCCCCAAGGTTCTCCCAAAGGCTCTCGAGGCGCCCCCCCAGAGGCCTTCGTACACTCCTGGGAGGCTCTCAGGAGACAGGCCCAGAAAAATCTCCCGAGACGCCGCCAAGAAGGCCCCGAGGGGCATCCCAACAGACCATGGCATGCATCCAGGAGACTTCTGACTCACAGCCCAGGCGCGGCAATTTGAAAAGAGAAATGTCCACAATTCCTTTTTTCCAAGAAAGGGCGCCGGCCCAGGGTTCTCTTTTAGTTGGTAAACCTGTCCCCGGTGCCTTAACTGAGGTGGGCCGGCGGATTCTTTCCCTGATAAATATCGAGAACGAGGTGGGCCGGCGGATTAGAAATTGAGGATGTCTCAGGCGAAACGCTTGTTTTTGAAATCCCGATCGATAAATCACAGGGTGCGGGCCACTCTTTCGTGTGTTGAGGATGTCTCGAGCGAAACGCTTGTTTGGCACGTTCCGTGGCGCGTCCCGTGGCGAATCCCCCTGGCACGTCGCACGGCGCGTCCCCTGGCACGTCCCGTGGCACGTCCATTGGCACGTTCCGTAGCGCGTCCCCTCGGCACGTCCCGCGGTGCGTCCCCATGGCACGTCCCGTGTCACGTCGCCTGGCGCGTCCCTTGGGACGTTCCGCGGCGCGTCTTCCTGGCATGTCCCCCTGGCAATCAGCCCAAGACGTTCCGAGAGGCACCCCAAGAGAGGTCCAAGAAACAAACATCGTTCCATTCCTATCGGAAAACGTATCTTTTTCGCATGTTCGCATCTTGGGCTTTCACCGCGTCCAAGACGGCCCAAGAGGCCTCCAAGACGGCCTAGGAGGCCTCCGGGAGCGCTCCAAGGCTGCGCACGAGTGGCTCAGGACGGCCCCAAGACGGCCCAAGAGAACCCCAAGACGACTTCGAGAGGGGTCCCAGAAGGAGAAAGCCACTCTCGAATTCCGAGCTTCCGGCCCAACATATCCCAGGAGGCGCCAAAACGCCGCCCAGAGGCGCCAAAAGGCTTCCAAAATCAGCCCAAGACGTTCCGAGAGGCACCCCAAAAGACCTCAAGAGAGCTCCGAGAGGCCTTCCGAGAGCGCCTGGAGAACCTCAAATCGTTAATTTTCATTGTTTTTGTTCAGGGTTTTTGGCCTTCTCGCCACTTCATGCTTCCAACGCTCCAAGACGGCCGAAGAGGCCCCCAAGACCGCCCCGAGACCGCCCAAGAGGCCCCCAAGACGGCCCCAGGACGGGCCAAGACGGCCCCAAGACTGCCGAAGAGGCGCCCAGGACAGCTCCAGACCACCCCAGAACAGGCCCACGGTGAGCCCGAGCGGGAGCAGGAGGCCTCCAGAGACCTTTGAGAGGACTCCGGGACCCCCCAGAGGCCTCCAACGCACCCCAGGCCCTTGAGAGGCTCCCCAAAAATTCCCGACGAGGCCCCCCAAACAGCCCAAGAGAGCTTCGAGAGCCGTCCCGAGAGAGCCCGAAGAGGATCTTTGCTTCCCTGTGGGTTTTGTCTACGTTTTTCGCCTTCTCACGTTTTCCCGCTTCCAACGCTCCAAGACCGAGGAATTTGAGAGAAAAAGGAGGAATTCCAATGATTCCCGTTTTTTTCCAGTTGGGATTCCTTTTCCCTATCCTCTTTCTCGAGCCCCATCAAGACTTCGGGGGCACATGCAATAATGTTTCGGGAATGCTGTTGAACTCTCTGACGCTGTCTTGACACTCTCTTGGATCGTCTTCGTGTCCCCTGGCTTGTAACACCTGTAGCCAGCGCGGCGTTGCGACTGCGGGAGGAGGGAGCCTCTACCGCGGTGTCGCTGATGCCAGATGTGCTCGCCTTGCTGAGTGGAGCTCGGCGCTGACTGAACGACTGGCACTCGCGGCGCTAATTAGGCTCGAAGTAGTCTGCGCTTGCGGGTGGGTCGTTTTCTTCTTGCCTGCCTGTCAATCTCTGCAGAAGCTTGGCTGTGCAGTTGCCTACAGCAAAAAATAATT